GGCCTCGTGCAAACGGCCCTTCTCACTTGACGTCCCGGACACTCGGATCTCGAAACTGCATTCCAAACCGGCGCCAAGCTTCTGCCTCGGATAATAAACTTCTGTCAATTTCGAGCACGGTTCGTCTTGAAATTGCCTTCACAGAACGATGCAATTTGTGACGGTCCGAATCTTCTTTTCGAAATGCCAAAGGCAACCAGCACTGAACATTGAAGCAGCTATTTACGAGCTACCGCTCGACCTTCTGTCAGCTCCAGCTCATTGCGCTACGACTCTAAGCCATTCCTTCGCTTGACTATGGAACATTCTCAGGCCATCACTCAAGCAACCAACCGACCGCAGGCGTCGTCGGGTCGTGGTGGAAATAACGTCTTGGACTAAACTTCTAGCCGCCTTCTTGGCATTCCGCCGCGGACCCCTGGTCTTGGCCACTTCTTCGTCGCGTGCCTGCACAAATCAAGTGGCCATCGAATCATCTTGCAGCAATTGACGAGCCTGGACCCGACCGTCGTCTGATTCCGGGATCCGGAAATCGACCTTCACAATTTCACCTTCTTTCTTCATCATCAAACTTCTACAGAGTCAGTGTGCAGTTGGTCTTTGAGTTTGCCCGCCTCGAGTCATCGTCAGCACGACGACTCACCTTACCAGCTTGACGCGGCGGATCAAGCAAGGCATGGACGTGCTCAATAGATTGGAAATGCTGAGCACTGTGGCGGCCTAGTGTGCTCACCTGTTGCATTCCAGAGAATACATTTTGCTCGCTCACAACTACCGGGGATTGGCCGGATGCTAATTTGAAGAACGGCTTGTTTTCTTTGCAAAAATGGGCTTGCGCAGACGGTGCGCATGTTTGTATCCGTGAACGGCTTGAGGCCATGGGTGACAGCGCCAGCATCTGGGCGGAGAATGGCCATTCAGTTCAGCAGATCATGGGAAACAATGGCGGAGCGCAGGATTCGGAAGGCTGGCTACCTCAACTTGGGATGGCCAGAATCAACCGCACACACAATGAATTTGCAGAACATCCTCCGTAAAACCCAGCCCGCGAGAGTGTTATGGATATCAGCGTGCAGCTGCGGCGTCACGAAGCCTTATTTCCATTGGCGACATAAGCTAAAGGGCGATCCTTCTGGAGGTGTATGCAGCTTTTGGTGCCACTCAAACGCGCAGAGGGGAGGATGGGGTTGTGGCTGCATCGCCAAGCCGCATGATATGGTAAGACGACGACGAGACCCTTCGTAAAAAGCGTCGTCTTTGGGTTACATGGATTTGGGATACGAGGACAAGACATGCAGACGTGCAGCAGCAAACTGCAACAGGCAGGCCACTGCCACTGCACTGCACTGCTGCACTGCACGCAGCAGCAGGAGATATCGCTCATTGCCGAAACCCACGCCGTCTTCGTTTCGTCCTAGATCGGAGTGTTGTTGGACTCGCATCGCAGACGTGGATGGGACAAAAGCAATCAGAGACAGACGCTTGCTCTGCCTGCCGAGGCCTCTGGGTGGCACGCGGTTGCGCACAGCATTGGCGGTAAGCTGTCTGTCAACCGAGACAGGAGGTTCGGCCTGGTACGTGTCCAGATTGGACGGGCCCTATTGACCGAGAAACGCACTCAACAATCGACGAGCCGCCGCCGCCGCACCTGTGTTGAGACGGTGAAGGCGGTTTGCGATGGAGGAGACGGCCGTCGTCGGATTGCTTCTTTGCCGTGGCTACTGGTGAGAAACGAGGAAACGACGGACCCCTGAAAAGCTGACCCCGACGCGACGCGGTTGCCGAGGGATGACGGCCAGGCAACTTATTGACCCCATGATCGACCACTGTCCATTGTTCGCGTTTCCATGGGGTAGGCGTGAGTCGGAGGGGTGAAGCTCAACGCTAGCAGATCCGCCATCGTCAACTGCCAAGGCCGGCTGCTGGTCTGCTTCTTAGTCGGCGATTTAATGGCGGTTCTGAGACAGCCGGCGAAGCCCTAACCCGCCTGATGGCTGAGGACTACCATAAAAACAACAACCGTGCCTTGAGGCTCGCTATCCAGCCTTTTCCTGGGGTTAGTTCTTTCTTTGCAGCACCTCAGGCAGTCAACGTGAACAAGGGACGGAGGCGTTGGGAACGTGGCATGCCCCCTCCACCGCCTCCGACATGACGAAACCAACCACATTCAAGAGACCGGAGGCCAGGCGACTACGCCGTACAGATGCTGGACTGCGGACACTTTGGCCAATGGAGACGGCCCATCGAACTGCCCATCGGACTTGTCAAGGAGCTTGTCTGCACCAGTTGCTTCCTGTAGGGCCTTCACGGGGCGCTGACACTTTGTCGTGTGAGTGCACTGCAGTAGACTGATGCCCGCCGTGGATCATCCCCACCAACCCAAGGGCACTACTCACCATACACACCCAAAAAAGCTCACCACACCTTTTGACTGATTCACCCTATCCAAGGGAACGTTTGCTTTTTCCTTGATTATGCAGCAGCAGAGGCGCCCAAGCCATGTTGCCTCTTCCTACGGGCTGGAGGGAGGGCCGCCAAGGGTCGAGTGCCGCAGCGCCACCGATGTGTGAGATGAGGAAAAGCTGGGACGACAGCACCAGGGAGAAGGACAGAAACAAACGATGGACGTCCAAAAAAGCCCATGCAACCGCCTCCAGCCGACTTCCTCAACTCCTCCTCCGCATGTGTGTCGGTGAAGCGGCGGAGAGTGTGTCCCAAAGCGGTATCCGACCACTGGCCCAGTGCAACTCGACCGACCAACGGGGCGTCCTAGAAACCCCTTGAAGTCTGGAGACTATCCCGAGTTGGTTCGTTGATCGGTTCATCTGCTAATATAGTCTGAAGCCCTTGGCTGGTTATGCTTCCTGGCCTTAATTTTTCCCGCTTCGCCCACCCCGTCCTACCCTCTTTCTCCCCATTGCAGGTCACGATCTTGATCGGTTCGGGAATGGTCGCCCTGGTCCTGCTGCCATCGGCCATCCATCCGTTCTGCCCCCAGCGGGGAAGCAGCCTTCATGCACCTTACACGCCCAGCATGCTACTACGACGCTGCTAATTAATTAAATCACATCTTGCTAGCACGAAAAATCCCCAGTTGCCAGTCACAAGCGCCATCACTATCGATTGGCCCAAAGGGCAAGAAGATCCAGAGAGAGAGGTATGCGAGTTTGATGGCTTCCCTTATGCGCAGAGAGGCAGAGATGCAGAGGAGGAGCCAGATGGCGCCCCGAGTCTGGCGTCGTCCGTCGTCCGTCGCCCGTTCCAAGGATCCCCATACCTCTTCATCCATGGACTTTTGACCAGTACCTAGCCTTCTTTCCCTACTGCGTTACTGCGTATGGCGGCGCAATTCCCAACCCCCACCCGCTTGAAGACATGAAATGGACGGGAAATAAAGCCTCCAAGCAAGTAAGTCAGTAAGTAAGTAGTAGTAGTAGTGCTGAGCTCCTCCAACCCAACCCCATGCAAGCATTAAGCCATAATGAGCCAGCCATCTCTCTCTCACTTACTCACTCGCTCGCACTCGACGAACGAGAGAGAGACCTGACCAGACCTGACCAGGCGAGCTTGTCTAAAAATGCAACCTATGGAACGCTCGTCCTTCAAGACATCCGTGACCCCCTCCTCCCCCCCTTGTGGCTCTTAATTCTTCATCTTTTCCCACCACAAAAACAAACCTTTATTTTTGTCTCCTCTGTCTCTGGTTTTCTTGGGTCTTGTCTCTGTACTATTCCTGGTGCGGTTGTGTTCTCGACCACTAGCACACGGCGCATTCTCAGTCAACTGTCTCTCCTCCTGCCTTCCTCATCCTTGCACGCTGCAAAGAGAGAGAGAGAGAGAGAGTCCGTTCTCGCCTCGACCAAACATACACACACACCAACAACACAACAATAAATTTACATATAAGCAAAACACATCCTTCTTTTCTCCTCTTCCTGCACCTTCTTGCACACACAATCATCATACCTACGCTTTATCTTCGCTCTCCCGTCCCAAAACACACACATCAGCATCCGAGTAGAAGGAACCGGGAGGGACTAAGCGCGGACACAGCAGTCTGAAAGTGTGTGTTCGCCCGTGAGGTACATATTGTCTGGGACCCTGCCGGACTAAAAGAGAGGACGAAGCAGCAAGAAGACGCAACCACGCATACGCAAACTCACCTCTCACCTCCTTGGCTTGCGTCCCATCCATCCCCCTCTCAGTCCGCACGCAGGACACACGACGCAAGCCCAGCTCGCTCCGCTAAGGTGCCTTGCACCAGACGAACAGCCGACAGGATTTCACAAGGACCCCTGTGCGCCCGCCGTGCCGCACCGCGGGAGAGTGACAGAAGAGCAGGACGGGGGGAAACGCTTTCGACCCCACTTCCATTCGGCCTGGGCCTGGGACGATCGAGCCAAAGAAACACACTCGGGTCGCTTGTGACCTGCTTCGAACCGTGGTTCTGCGCCGGGTCGTATGACATATACATAGCCCACACAGGACCCAAGACTGGCGGCTGTATCGTTCGCACTTCCAGGGCAGTCTGTCGCATTTTCCAGGGCAGCAAGCAGCGTAACCAGAAGTCAGCAGTCACCTTTTTTCGTTCGCATTTCGCCGTCCACCTTTTCCCGTTCGTACGTCAAGGGTGGGCTCTCCGGATGTGACATATCAACGAAACCCTGTTGTACGAACCACCAGAGATCTCGCTACTTATTTCTCCTTGTCGTCAACCCACCGTCCTCGATCAACCGATTGACACGGCGGAACTTATTACGAACACACGACAAATAGCATCGCCTTACATTGTGTATACAATTTTTAAGGGCTTTCACATATTCCCACCAAGGGTCGCCAAAAACTCTGGAACACTTTCACCTTAAACCAGCCTTGCTTGGAGAAATCCCCAGTGGGGGTACTTGCACGTCATCGACATGTTATACAACATGAGCTACCCTCACGACCACGCGGGGGCACCTCCGGCGGCAGTTGCGGGGCAGCAACCCATCAAACCCACAATGGCACCCGTGGGCGGCGCCGCCATTCGGCCGCCGAAACAACGGTGCTCCCAGCCGATGCCCTTCGACCCGGAAGAGCTCTCACAGAAACTCAACGAAGTCATCGCCGACCGCCAGGCTTATTCCGAGAGAAGAAGGAGAGCCAGGGCCGAGGCCGCGGCAGGCGGCAACTCAGCGCCGATGAACCCAACCTCAGCTACTCAACCACCACACGCTAGCATGGCCAGGGAAATATTCGAACAAGGCACTCTCAAGCCCGGAGAACGTCGAACCGTGATCAACCCCGTCAGACCGCGCACCGAGCCGGCAGCGAAGAAGCCCGCGGCACCCAAGGAGAGGCCCGATACCAGCGCGGCGCGGCCAAAGTCCAAGATGTCCGATGACAGCCGGAGCTCGAGCTCCAAGTCAAAGGACTCCTCCAAGAGCAAGCACCACTACATCCCGCAGTTCGCCGCCTCGCAATTTGCGCGGACGACCACGTCGGACAGCATGCCGGAGGGCAAGGGGCTCGTCCACAAGCTGTCCCGCACCGCTCTGAGGATCGCGCAGGCTCACCGGGAGCGGCATCAGCAGGAACGCAAGAACTTCTACTCGGACCGCATCCCGGAGGATGAGACGCAGCCGATTGAACGCCCGCATCGCGACAGGAATCACCACAGGCACACCATCGAAGGTGCACCTGCCGGACATCATGCGGAAGACCGCCGCGCCCGCGCTGCTAGGCGCGCGAGCACAGGGGCTGCAGACCTGTTGATGACGTGGGAATCCGGCACCTCGTCACCGAACCCGGACGGCGACAGCCCCGAAGTGCCCGACCAGGATCCCTATGACCGCCGTGCCGACTGGACGCAAAGGGACGAAGCTCCTCCCCACCAGCCAGAGCAGCAGGCACAACGGCAAAAGTCCAGGCCTTCTCTACGCAGCGCAGATTCCATCTGGGCGTTGAGGAACAAGCTGAGCGCGCTGACCAAACACAAGCAGGATGATCAGCAGCAGAGGTCCAGGGATGGCAGCCCGCCGTCTGACACCACGCTCAGGTCACCCAAGAGCGGATTCTTCGCTAGATTCAAGGTCAACCATTGATCCCGGTGGCAACAGAGAGGGGTCGGCTTACCGTTGTCCAACAATATTACTATACGAATACTTCTACACGTACACGGTGGTTCACAGCACACCTTTCGAATGTGTACGCCTAATCCAAACCATGGCGTCAAGACCAATTGTTCCCGCCGGGCTATTCATCTACCCTCCTCCAAGAGCTTCCTGATGAGATCCGTATCCTTCTCCGCTGCACTCTTTCGGATCGCCTCCTCAGCAGCGGCATCCTCGCCCTTAAGGATGAGATGGTTGATGAGTTCAATGTACTCCCGCACTCCCTCGCCGTCCTCCCCCGCCGCGGTCCTCGCCTTCCGCAACGCCTCCTTGCCGTTGCGGATTCCCACGTCATGCGACCACTGTTCCTTCTTGGGATTCGCGGCGGCCAAGGCCCTCGCCTTCATCGTGTCGTTCAGGCTGTTTCCGGTTCCCTGCAGCTCCGGCGGCGGTTCGGTGGCGGCGAGGATACCCAGCAGACGCGACTTTAGACTCGGGTAGCGCTTGAAAAGGTAGCGCAGCTGGGGCGAGTCGTCGAGGACGCTGAAGGGGTTCTTCGGGTCGAGCGCCTTCTTCGACCCTGGCGGCTTAGGCGCCTCGACGGGAGGTTTGGGAACGGGTTCAGGATCTGGCGGGTGGTTCTCGCGGTGGATCTTACTACATTGCACCGAGCAGCTATTTTCATACCCATTAATGTTAGTAAATAATGTACATGACAACAGAGAATGTGTAATGAAGACAAAATGTCCCTGCGGTGAAACGTACAATGGCAGAGGACAACGCGTGCACTTGTATTTGCCTTCCTTCTCATTGCAAATGCCACACATCTTGGTCTTGGGCGCCGCCTTTGGCTCGGGGACTGTTTCGGGTTCTTGGGTTTGCGATGCTGTTGTTGGCGCAGGCTCTTTGGCAAGATTTTGTGACAACTCTTGTTTTCTGCTCTCGTCAACGGCTTCGCCTGTCGCGTCCTCGCTCGTCGTTCCGTTGGCAGCCGGCGCATCTTTCTCCTCGCTCTTCGCCGCGGCCCCCTCCGCCTCTTGTTGGTTCTCGTGGGGGCTCTCAGTCCTGGACCTCTTGTTCGCATGCTCAATCAGCTCCTCCAGCACATCTTGCGAGCGCTTGGGTGACCGAGGGACAACCGGCTGCGGCGGGGGGCCATCGTTTTCGGCGGACATTGTTTCGCTTCTCTCTCGGGTCGATTCTCGTGCCGCCGCAAAGTGTTTCGCCTGTTTCCTCCTGAAGTACTTTCTCTGCTGCGCGAGCAGTTTCTAAGCAGCTCTCCGAGTAGCTATATCTGCAAGAGCCGCAATTGAAGTCTTCGGTGGGTGGCTCCGTTTCTCGCAAAGATCCGGGCTTTGGATCTTTCTTGCCTCGGTGCCTGAGAAGCGTCCTATTCGGTGGAGAGTGGTTCGACCTCGTCTGCGTCGCTAATATGAACAAAGTGCTGGCTTTAGACAAGAAGGCCGAGTAGGATATGTCAGAGATAGGGGAAGCCAAAAAAAAAGAAAACGAAAAAACTTCTTGGTTGCAAACAGAGGTTTAGCCGTTGTGGTTCACCCGCGCTTTCCTTTTTGTTCGGGAACGTTGCTTGCTGTTGTTTCCCTCCCATCGTTTTATTTTTTCTGCCGCTCAACGGCTCGCAGACCCAAGCGCCGGAGCTCTCGAGAAAATTCTAGTGGGGCCTAAGCTTTTAGGCGGTCAGTCCTGACCTCAGTGCAAAGGTCCGCACCGCAGTCCACTGGGCAGCTGGGCCTGACCGCCAAAAGCCCGAGTCGAATATCTATCCGCCCGCCATGTACATAGTACTCTGGGGACCCGGGATGACTTTGGCTCTCCCCCACCAGATGGATGCAACTTGAACACTGTGAGAAGAGTACTCGTGCCAGGATCGAATTATTCTGGAGCTCGACCGAGTGTCCATTTGCATGCCTACCCAGTCCCACTGTGTCCGGGCGAGTCGGGAATTCTACGGACGAAGGCAAGCGAATATTAGTGAGGGAAAAAGGCTTTGCGTCATCCTGACAAGGCCCGCAGCCGCAAGACCCATGATTGGTAATACAAGGCCTCGGAATTGAGCGGCGAAGGGGAAAAAAGAGGATCCCTCTGTCAAAACTGTGCTCGAAAAGCCGATTTAGCTCCATCTGGCAGTTGCGCCCTGCGTTGAGTAATGCCGAGGAGCAGACCGTTCGAACCCTGGGGTAAATTTGTACATAGTGACCGCAGTCATCATCTTGAGGTAAACTTACACCTTGCAAACCAACCTACGAGCCAAACCTGAATAATAACGACGACGCCGCCGCCAAATACGCAATCGAGGACGACATCGATAATTATACACACATCCACACACACAATGTCATCCTTCAGGACATCGAGGACAGCGCTCCGCGCCATTGCGCGCTCCACGAGGCAAATCAGATCCGCCCCCGCCGCGCAGCAATCGAGACATTTCGCGAGCCACCACCCCTCCAGCCTGCCCGCGACCGTATCCTCCGGCCTTCTGCAGCAGAGTCGACTACCTCGCAGCCCGACGCACCAGCACGCCCAACAAAGACAATCGCCCTTCGCCGGGCGTCAGGGCGCCGTCCGCACAATCTTCATACAGACGGAGTCGACCCCGAATCCGGACGCCATCAAGTTCCTCCCGAACCACCGCATCCTCCCCGAGACGATCTCGAGCCCCTTCATCGAGTACATGAACCCGCGCTCGACAATCGCCCCGCCGTACCCCTCCCCGCTGGCCGCCCAGTTGATGAACATTGACGGCGTCACCTCCGTCTTCTACGGGGCCGACTTCATCACGGTGACTAAGGCCGCCGATGCCAACTGGGCACACATCCGTCCCGAGATCTTTGCGCTCATCACCGAGGCCATCACCTCGGGCCAGACGATCGTCAACGTCGCGGAAAAGAAGGACGGCGCCGCGGCGCCCGAGGCCGAGGAGGAGGACAGTCTCGCGTACGACGAGAACGACAGCGAGGTGGTCGGCATGATCAAGGAGTTGCTCGAAACGAGGATACGACCTGCGATTCAGGAGGACGGTGGCGATATTGACTTCCGTGGCTTCACCGACGAGGGCGTCGTTTTGCTGAAGCTTCGCGGTGCCTGCCGCACGTGCGACTCCAGTACCGCCACCCTGAAGAACGGCATCGAGAGTATGCTGATGCACTACGTGAGAATCCCATAGCCCTGTGCCTGTCCGGCTCTTTGTGCTAATCCTTATGGTTAGATTGAGGAAGTCAAGGGTGTCGAGCAGATCATGGACGAGGAAGAAGAGGTTGCCCTCAAGGAGTTTGCCAAGTTTGAAGAGAAGCTCAAGGCGCAAAAGGGCGTCGAGGCCATCGCCTAAGAGCTGGGAATAGAGCCCTTGCGCGATTATGACTTTGAGAAGAGACGGGAAAAAAGGAGTTTGGGGGCGTGGTATGGATTCTGTAGAAAATGCTGTATCATTACATCCTCAGGACTCACCAGGCCAAAGACAAGGCCGGTGACCGAGGCAATACCCATCACATCGCTGTTCATCACAGCCTCGTCTACGTCGCCCGGACAGCCTCGCCGTCGCCAGTGGCATGCTTCACGCAAGGCGTCACCGCTTCGGCTGGTGGCCAGTGTCTATGTGATCAGGCTCGCGATGGCTCGTGTTCGGCTGCAAATCGAGCGAGCCTCGCCAACTCGCCAACTATGCAACTTATGCTTTTCATCAGATAGACTCATGTTCCAGGGCGAGACCGGTCCAAGTGCGTGCCAGCCTATGCGCGGGGTGCACGAGATCCCCCGGGCCGGCGCTGGCCAGATGAAGAGCCAGACAACGTCCGTAAACAAGGCGGGAGAAGATCGTCATAATTCCTACAGACATGAGCGTTCGAGACCGTCTTCGTCTTCACGACTGTCAGGGTTGGCGGAGGGTTTTTTGTTCTTCAATGTTGATTGGGCTCTCTTGTCCAGCCAAGGGTTGTGCAGCGGATCAGGGCGGGGAGCCGGGGTAGCTGGTCGCCGTGCAGGAACCCCTCAAGTGAGAGTGAACCCCTCAATCCGCTCGGGTGAAGAGGGTGGGCGGGCGTCCATCCCCACGCTTTTCGCCGTATTGCAGAGTCGCAACCGCCGAGCGGAGTGCACTCCTTGCCCTCTCTCGCCTACGTCGTCGTAAGGCCACCACCCATCGAGCAAAGCAGGCCTACGATCCGTTCCACGACACGGCCACGTCCGGCTTGTTTCCCACCCTTCTTGTCCTCGCATCTGTGGACGAGGGGAAATGAACCCACTTGGGGGCAACTTGCTTTTCCCCCTCGGTCAAGTTTAGCTTCCTTGACTTCCGCTGATCTTGTGCCGCATCTCCTCATCATCATGCCAGCCATTCCGGGTACATGCCTGTCCCGTCTCCGCACCGAATACAACTGGATGCTTTCTGACAAGCAACCGTCACGTCCTGAGCAAGCTTTGTTCCAAAGACGACAATGTGAACAGAGGCCGTCCGAGCAAGAAGGCTTGCAGGGCATAGAGGATGAGGGGCTCCCGGCGCAGCAGAAAGATGTGGTGGTGCTGGCGAACTGACCCTGGGCGCCTTAGGATGTTAGTTGCGCTAGCGCGCGTTGAGAGGGTCGCTTTGTAACTTATCAAAGTATCGCTTGCCGTAAGTGAGCCTTGGGTTGAACTGATCTTCTCGCGTCCAGCGAGAGTAAGCATGGATGCTGTTGGTCAACGGCTGGCGCTGCTTGAGCATTTCTGGTGGTTTTCTCACCCGTTAGAGCAGCTAGAGCCAAGGTTGAGTTTAATGACGAGATGAGAATCCGGGGTAAAGCCCCTGGCTGACATTTGACTTTCGCCCTCCATCGGCTCGGGGGTATGTCGATCTGGGCTGCGGTGCGGTACGTCGCGTTTCGGTTCCCTACATTACATCCATTCGACGGTGAGCCGGTCTCAGGGGACGATGCCATTGTTGATGGATGCAATTAAGATGTAGCGGTTAATTCGACCTCCAAGTTATCTCTCAG